CAGCTGCATCTAGTATCCAGGTCAAAGCACTTTTAGTTGCTTACTCAGTTGAGTCCTCAAGCTGGCAAGCCTACTGCTCCGCTCTGAAAGCCCAGAGTACAATGCTACACCCTTTATTTGCTTGTGCTGTTCGAGTAAGCATGAGCGAATAAACCACAAGAACAAACTTAGCCCGGAATGCTCGGACGAAAGCATCTTCTATGTGTATTCATACGTGAATTTCTCTCCCTAGTTTTGCGCGTTTGACTTTTCAGACTTTCGCGTTGGACATGCGTTAGAATTTCTCCTTTTCGTAAACCCCGACAGCTAACCATGTCAATGCATCAGGAATGCAGACATGGTCACTAATAACTGGGGCACGTTCCTTGTCGAGCGTTTATTTTGTATATGCAACGCTCTAGGGGGGTTCTATGGTGATCCTTCTGACCATTGTACATTTGTACTTTCTTTGTAACTTATCATTACGCAATTTGTACCACTTTCTATCTCCCAATAAAATCTCAGCTTACTCCTCTTCTCTTCATACCGGATATCTTTTGTTTACAATGAACGAAAAAGAAATATGGACACAATACAAATTCTGTACCTCGTGAAAGGCGTGTTCCCTTCTTGCTGTGTCGAATTACGCTGGCAGTGAATTAACGAGCGGTGATCTACCTTTCAGACTACGACGGGATAGAAAGTATCTAGGAATATATCAAGCAAGATTCCAGGGAGGAGATCGCTTTGGATTTATTGTGGTGGTAATAACTAACTGTACCAACGAACTGTGAGTTGTATCATCTCGTCTATTTTTTTTCTCACTTGATGTAACTACTCTGAACTGGTATTTGCTCACGTTATCCACTACAAGTCTTTCAGCCGTCTGCTGAAGGCAGACTGTTTTTGTGCAGTGCCAGCTTCCGACATACCCAGAGTCTTCTGGTCGCATAACGTCCTCTAAAACGGTGCCGGTCATGGACCCAAGCTAACTGCATCGCCATCAGTTACCAGTGTCACCGAGTATTAAAATGATCACCGCTGGTTTCGTCACACGTATGGATTCTGACCTTGCATTCGTCCGGACATTCCGCCGTATTTTCTTCCTAGGGCCGCTAACTGGGTGGACAAATAGCCTGGCAACCTGACGCCACTTCAGTTGGAAATGGAGGGGTGCGTAGTAATAAAGTGACATGAGGGGCAGTCTTAGTCCAGAGCTCTTGCGGACGTAGTAAGGAACCAAATCGTGGGATAATCCAAATAAGCAAAGCCAGCTGTCCGAGAATTTCGTGATGTTTAAAGCCAATACAAAGATTTGGATGTTGTAGATTCTGCAGTGAAGTCAGGCTGCAATTATAGGCAAAACTTAAACGGATGTGATTATTAGGTGCGTATCAAAGCCAGAAGACAACTGTGCGGACAGACTAGCGATACGGAGGACAATAAAGATAGATATAACCGTCCAGTGTGCATCAATTTTTAAACGTATATGAACATGGGAAAAAAATATAAGGCGTTCAAAAAATGGATCGCAGTGAGACAATATAACGGCAAAAGCACAGGTGTATACATGAACAACGTCATTATCTGGCTCTCGATCTTTGTGCGATGGGTTTTCTGATAACGGAGAGGAGTAAATTGATGAATTACAAAGAAAGGAAAAGGACTATGACACACATCAAGGTCAAACCTGTCAGACACTCCTGCATTTAAATACCGGTGATGACAGCGTGTGCACTCACATAATATTCCAGGTCTATCTAGGTCGGTCTACGCAATGAGTACAGTTAGGCGAGCAAAGAGGGCAAAAGATTTCCAGACAAGAACACTGGTTCTGAACTTTTAGGAATGATGGAAACTGTAATTTTTCCGGGCTCTACTCGAAAAACCCCATATGTGAAAGTTTCATCATGATNACATATGTGAAATGTTTATCATGATGACGATAATGGAAATAGCTCGAATAGTCTGTTGTTGCATTTGAGTAGGAATAATAACACACGGAGCCAAAAAACATGGGTAATTTAGTGAAAAAGATTTAAATAGGTAGTTCTTGCCCCATGGAAAAAAATTAGCATTTCGTTGTTGGAAATTTTGAGCGAGGGCCATTCGTGAGAGTTGTAAGACCCGGATGGCTAAGTATTTCAAGGACGATTGCGGCTATCGGATTATACGCAATACGTATCCAGTGGACAATGGGAACAGACGGACGAGGGGAGCGGACTGTATATTAGGAACTGACAGGAACTGGTTCTATAGACAAGTGGGTTGGTATGCATCGTGAATTTGTCAAACGCATAATCAGCAGGAGTAGCAAGCAGTCAGTGAAGCTGTAGGGATATCTGGAAACAACAGCAAGTAAGCACCAAACGATGTGCAACCGTACAGATACGGACAGCCTGTCAGTTTCAGTTAGCCGTATAGAGAGATAATGGCGCAGAAAACAATCAATAAGCTCGATGACTGTCTTTGTTCGGCGGTGCGATGCGGGAGCTCGTGTTGCGAGACAAACCAGGTTGCGCGGCTAGGTCAGTTTAAAACAAATCGCACCAAAGGCCATCTGGCAGATGCGGTATATAGGTTATAGAAAAAATAGGGGATTCCTGGAGCCGAGTTGGTGTGGTGGGCAACACGCTCATCCGCAACCCTAGAAGCTCTGAATTCGACCACCGGTTGGTCTGTTTTTCCGTCAGAGCGGACGTTCGGAATTGAAAGTTAGAAGTGAGACAAACTCGCAAGCAATTACAGACGGGCAGCAGAATATTGACATCAGTTACTGAAGAATAAGCGGACCATGAGTGGGAGCGAAACATGGGGAAACGGGCAGCAAGGAAGTAAAACGGCGTCATAATGAACGGGCGTAATTTAATTTACACAGCATTAGTCAAAAACAAGAAAAATGACCGCTGCTCACCGCTGATTCACAGATGAAATCGTCAAGATTTTTCATGTTTACAAGTGACCCTGAGGGGAGGTGATTAGAGCGTTCTGTGGAATTAAAGGCTGCATTCATTTTCCCTTTAGAGTTGATCCGGACCTCACTAAAATATAGCCGTTCTCTCAGGTTTAGTCCTTCAAGTTAACATAGTGAGTGGTGAAAGGCCGGGAGTAGCTGTTTACTTCTTATTTGGATTCATTAAAAATGCGCAACTCACGAAACTCCAGCGAGTTTACCGGCTTTTCTACACAGACCGATTTCATTAGCAGGACGAAATCTCAAACAAAAGTTTCAACACCTTCTCACCTTATTAATCGTTGTTCATGTTAACGCGACAGCTCTGTGATAAATACTAGCCATTGCGCGCAGAGGGACCGTGGGAGTCTTGCCAACACCAAACCTGTCGGCCTTGCTCGTGTACCTCAAAATTCAATGAGATTAGTCCATTAATGCTTTTAATTCACATTTGGTTTTTGGCTAAGTTATCGGCCGTTGCGCGTTGTCATCAGCCAAGTCAACTTATTTGCTATTCCTGATGTCAACTCTACTCTCTTTCACATATTTTCCTTCCCCTTCCTTCACCCCGTTGATAACTCCTTCCTTGTGGGCCTGCCAGTTGTGACTAATGTCTCCATTCGTCATTCGGCGCTGAAATCCTCAGGTAGCTCGAACTCAAACTCCAAGCCTTGAAGCCCGATCAAACTGACTGCTTTCAATTTTCTTTCACCGAAACAAGCAGAATAACAAGCCGCTCTTGCTCTCACACTGTTTCACTTGATACTGAAGTGTTCTGTGTATCAGGAACAAGAATTCAAAATTCAAGAACGCATTCCCCTCATGTTTGACTGGGAACTTCTGGCAGTCCAGAGGCCGCTTCAGCAGAACGTGCAAAGTTCGGCATCGTTTTATGCCATCAAATGAATGGTTTCATGCTCGAGTGAATATAAATTGATAGTTTGTCCAGCAATGTCAAAAGTTAATCAACGTCTGTTTACCGTGTCTGCACATGCTCAAAACGACTGTAGACCTGACATAGTGGTGACAAGTTCAATGAAGCCTCTAGTGCTAAACAGACAAATATTGTTATCTCTGTCGGAAGATCTGGGTGCAAAAACAGACAAACTTGTTGCATCTAAAATTCGAACATTTGGTTGATTCGGGCTGAACTTGGCAAGTACGAACAACGGTGAGCCAGTCTTTCAGCCGTCTACTGAAGGCAGACTATTTTTGTGCAGTGCCAACTTCCGACATACCCAGAGTCTTCTGGTCACATAACGTCCTCTAATGGGGTGCCCGTCACGGACCCAAGCTAACTGCATCGCCATCAGTTACCAATGTCACCGAGTATTAAAATGATCACCGCTGGTTTTGTCACACGTATGGATTCTGACCTTGCATTCGTCCGGACATTCCGCCGTAATTTCTTCCTAGGGCCGCTAACTGGGTGGACAAATAGCCTGGCAACCAACAAGTGGTAAATATTCAATTTAGACGAATTTACTGAACACTCCCAACCACTTAACTCCTGCTGGAACCAGACCACAATGTCTTTGTGCAGTGCATTTTTTCCGTGACACGGTCTCTTTGTGCCTCTTGAGAATCGGATATCAGACAGGTCAGTGCGGCTGATTCAGTTTCGGACAAATGTTCATGGCGACTCCGAACATACTTTAGACAGACGGAACATCAGATGTCAGGTCAAACTTATGGTGCTCACCAATCCTGGAGCATGGTAGACACGGGATGCTAAGGAAATGAAAGAGCTTGAGAAAGATGCTAAGGAAATGGAAGAGCTTGAGACGCATCGACCTCTGGGTCGAGCGTCTTAAACGAATATTCTTGTGGCCACCTGCTGGCGTGCACTTGAATCCAGGGTACTGCCGGGATGGCATGCAACTCAACCAACAGCGGCAACCCACTAGACACTGATAATGTCACCTTGGTGGGTACCGAAACGGTTGCAACCCTATTGCCAAGCTCGCCGTACTGGATAGCTACTACGGACAATGGCAAATAAGGAGCTACGAATAAAACAAGTGTGCTCAGTGAACGGAAAAACAACAGCCTGAACTGTCGCGTGCTTTCTGAATGACATTTTGACCAGGGAATTTCTTCAAATTTATAACTAACTGATTTGTTTTACCTCAATACTGATCTAAAATACAAGGCTTGTGCGAACTGGCGTGAAGATTCAGAGGCTGTTCAGATTCAGAAGCCGTTCACAAAATAAGGGTAACAACAACAACCAGAAAAAGGAGACTTCTCTGGATTTTTCTCATGCGTTTGATAGCGGTAGCACAGAGCATTTGAATTCAACCTCACGAAAAAATTCTAGCATTCAATCCACAGAAGAAGACTGCTTGCAACCAGAATGTTGTCCACAGAATTGATATAACGTTAAAAAAGCGAAAATGAAACATACATTTACAAACTTTAAGGTCTGTGTAAGTTTACACGTGGTAGCGAAATTCAATCATTTAAAGTACACCCAAGTATGGCCAAGTTGGAGGGCTTCGGATATCTGGACGGCTTCGGATATCCAGGTCGGATTCTCATTCTGATGTTATCAAACACATAATGTTGTGTTCCTGAGAAGAAGATGGTTTCACCTGAGTGGGAAAATAGAAGATCGAACATTAATACTTATCTACCAAGAATCAATACGAACTGTCGAAAGAAATACAAAAGTCTGCACCTACTCATTTACCTGAGAGGTGACAATGTGTGGGGAAAGCATTGGTTGTTGCGGGGTGTGATTCAAGTCCCGGAAAAACGAACACTCGTACATTCATATTGTATATACATATATATTAATATGTTCATGTGTGTATATATTATATACGTGTTTATATCATTTCATGTATACATAAATAAAATTTTGTATGCTCTGTATAATAATTACAAAATAAATCCTGAGCAGAAGGCATGATTGTGTACATTGCCTTTGGCGATGCCTACAGTAGAGAAACTGTGATAGTCCACTGGTAGTGAGAGAGGACTTTGTAACTTCTTTCAATCAACTGGAAAACGTTCGGAACCGATCGAGAGATCATCGATTTAGAAGGGTTTGGTAAACAATCGGTAGTTTTTAATTGGGAAACAATTTGATTTTGACACGAAGCTTTATCAGGCCAAGTGAGCAGGTCACCAAGTTGGCCAGGTTATAAGACAGACGGGGAACCAATCAGTAAGTCCTCTTCAGATTATCACGTTGGATCAGTGCTGAGTGTCAGTTAACGGCTCTTGTCGGTTAGTGTGGTTGAGGGAGCTTCAAATTAGTTCCGAATTCGGTTCCTTAACCCTCCACTTTATGGTGCTTCAGGGTGCCACTGGTAGATTTTCTTCGGTGTTCGTGGGCTTGTGAGTGTTGCGACGCGAATATGAAGACATCTTAGTGATTGGTTCTCTGTCTGCCTTCAAACCTGGCCAACTTGGTGACCTACTTACTTGGCCTGATGAACCTCTTGTGTCAAAAACGAAACGTTTCCCAATTAAAAACTACTGATTGTTTACCAAACCTTTCTGAAAAACGATTGCATATTATTAATTTAGCCAATCTATTCTGAAAAGCCGAGAATTACTTGGCCATCACCAACAGTGTTCAACTCGCCAAACTCAATGAATTTTGAACATGCTGCTTTTTGGCATAAATTAGCCTCATTTTGGGGACAAAATCGCACTCTGAAATGTGACAGTATCCGCAAAGAAGATTTCTAGTTTTGAATGTGTACCTGGGAAATGATGACAGAGAAAATGCTAGTTATGAATACGAGTTCGGGCGCCGCGGCTTATGGCAGCGGATAGGGGTGGTACAGAAAAGCATTTCAAAACAAGATAAAAAAGAATAGGAGGTTTATGGCCACGAACAAGGGGATGTTCACAACATGACTTTGTAGGCAACATGCAAAGGGGTAGCCAAAACTCTCCGTTATATTTATCATTATCCGTTCCAAATCATCTTCATCGTCATCGATAGTGTGACACCACTGTTCAACACCGATGTTTCGCTGCCGTAAAACCGCGATTTATTTGAAAGCATTAGTGTAAAAAGAAAACAAAGGTGGGAGGGGAAGGAACTTAATGTTAGCTTACTACAGTCATCAAGAGGTACTTACACCTCCAGACATTCACTCAGGCAAGCTGAATAGAAACTGACAACAAGGTCGTCACTGACATTGGTTAGAAACCATATCTTGCAGCGTCTCCAACCCGGCGCAGTGAGGATCACGCGGTCCCCATCCAAGAAGGCTAGTAGCACCGACAGCACCCAAGCGTTTCGTGATCTCTTTCATACTCCTCTGCCAGGTCAAGGGTTAGCCACCTCTCTGCTTCCATCACTCTGAATTGAGCGTGTAAAACAGCACTTTCTTCGACAAACGATGGTTAGGCATAAGCAACGCATGTCCCAACCCACGCAGCTTCTGGTGCTGGACACATTCTTCAAGTATCTTCAAGTATCCATTGCACAGCCGAAAACTAGCCTTCCAATAACCTCATTACTGATACACCGACACCAACCCACATGACCTTTGGTTCTAGGACAACGATTGCCGCACACCTAAAGACGTCTCAGTTCCTCTGCTCGAACAGCCATACACCTAAAAAGCTCGCACTGTAGCTTGATACACCGTCCCTTGAGATTCAGAGGTACACCACTTTGATGCCATAGATGTGTCAGATTAGCAAACGGAACCGATTATTGCAGATCCATGCATGGACCTCATCTGTCGCACTTTTCGATTCAAAGTTCCGCCCCGATCATGTGTTTTTGTCATTCGTACCAATCATGTGAAAGACTGCAGCAAACATCACGTGCAGTGTCGTGGCCAGTGGATGGCGTGATCCGTCAAACGCGGCATAGAAACTGATATTATCATGCTGAGATTCGTAATAACCAAAACGTGCTTCGAGTGTCGTATTCATGTACCATCTTTTCTTGAAACCCTTGAGGGTTTCTTTCAAAATTTCGGAACGCACTTTGCATACGCTAATTTAATTTAAAGTTCAAGGGATATGACTCAACTGCGGACTTTTATTTTACATAATCCCACTAGAGTGTATACAGAAGACCTTTTTGCGGCTGCATGAAAATGGAGAGGGAGACTGTTGAACATATCTTATCGACTTCAACCAGAAATGACGTTTTTTGATACAGTGATCCGTCCTACAGCAACCAGTCCCAGTGAATAGCTCAACTGACCGCGTTGCTTGGTCCTTAAATCTGGTCTGCTCCTTAGGACTCCTGGCACTTTAGCTCAGAGATAAATGATGAAATCTTTAAAACGCAGTTCCAGATTGGTCATGCGGAAAAACTTCACAGTGCGGATTCAATCACAGCTTTTTATTTTACATATCCTTACAAGAAAGTATACAGAAAACGTTTTCTCGTCTACGGAATAAAGGAGATTGTCGAACACTTTCTGTCGAATTTCGGTTGAAATTTGACTTCAGCCAGGGGTGACGTCGTTCTTATATTGTGATCCACTCTTGAACAACCAGTGAAAAGATCAACCAGGCACTTTGGTTGGTCCTTAACTCTGGTTTGCTCACAAGGACAATTTGTACTTCAGCTTAGGGATAAAACGCTATTTCAGGTTAGTCCTTCAGAAAACTTTCGCTGTGTAGGCGCTAGAAAATCGGGAGTTTTCCACAGCACCATCTGGTCTACACTTCACCTGGCTGAATAGTTCTTCTATTTGATAAAGTTAGCTTTTCCCTTTGCAGAAATGCTATCGACAATTCACCCGACCGTTTTCCGTTTTCCGTTTGCACCAGTGCCAGTTAACTGGGCTAACACAAAGTGACGTTGGATGCACTTGAAACAACACAACTCAGAACCATTTGGGAAACTCACTTCTTCATGGAGGCTCAGCAGCAGGTAGAACATAACAGCTACAGTGATTTTTCGTCAGCTTTGGAAGTTAATTATTGGCGCCCTGTCATTTGCCTTCACTCCTACCTTGGGACGCATGATCAGTCTGATTGTTTAGGGGGGCGACCAAGGTTTACCGATTACTTAACGTTTCTACAAGAAACATGCGATCAGTGTTCGTTTTATTGCAAGCTCCATGAAAGATGAATGAATGAACTAGGGTTCTGAGAAGGAGATCTTTGACCTTAAAACAAATCCAAGTTTGAATGTATTGCTGTACGATTCCACAAACATGCTCATCTCATCACTCTGTTAGCTAAGGAGATTCCAAAATCTGTCACTAGACGGCCTGGAGTTGCGCGTCCCCAGTCGATATCAACACACTGCTGGCTATCCTTCTATTCTTGATTCATGTGTCCATTACGGAAGGAATTTCTGGGCTCAACAGACGAACCCAGTCAACAAACGTGAGCTCCTGTGGATGCAGTGGTCATTGTGTAAACGAACTGCAATGGAAAGACGTGGAAAATAACCACAAACTTATTACTAAGTTTTAAAAGTTCAACCGGAAGCGGCACAATGGTTTCTACCGAGGGACGTCGCTCTAAATTGAGGACACTTGCTTCGGCATCATTTGCTTTTATAGCGGCTGTACGCATGTACTCTTTCAAGCCTAGAACATTACATCGCTCACTGGTTGTTTTATTCGGTGTCGTTCTCGTAAACCAATAAGGAAAAAATTATAGTTTACCGTTTAACCCGGTAAATGCGGCATCCACGGGGACCGGAACGCCTTCCCACGTGTCCTCAATTAGACGTGGATAGTCCGGACCTCCATACACCTGCCCAAATTGACCGGCTTTCTCATCCAACTTCCAGTAGTACCGACCGGCAAAAAGATAGATCTTCTTGTTCACGTCCCACTGGAAAGCCGTGTCGATTTTTGTAACCGTTTCTGGCAAACCGAGCTGCGTTAACGGTAGACCATGAAGGGGAAAGTCCGTTTTTCTCCTGACGTTGTCAGCCAACAACCAGAAGCGCCGGCCTAAGTAAAGAAATGTTTGATATGGTGAGAGAAAGCTAAGACCGGAGCGGGAACAATTTATCCCCGTGCAGAGACTCACCCCTGAACATGTAGATTGCGGCATCCTCTCGCTCGACTCCGGCGTCGATATAATCGACGTATTTGGGCAAAGCGGGCCAATAATAGGTTATACTGGTTGGCCCATCACGAAATTCGTAGGAAACCCAAGTGCTTACAGTCTTTGACCAAGTTACACGCCATTGCAACTGGAATTGAGAAAATGGTAACGTGTTTTTGAAATTCCGGTAATGTAAAAATCAGTAATTTGATACTGATAACATACAAACTATCTCTAATGAATGATCGGATACGAGATAACTAGTCAAGACGGAATTTTTGAAAATGTTATTGGGTGCTTTTTTTCAAAATAAATGTGAACGGTATGATGACCAAAAATCACCAACCAGGAGTCACCCTGCTGTAAGTCAACAGCCAATTAGAAGCCCAATTTTTCGCTACTTATGATCGGTTGGTGGACGCTTGGTCATGTGGATAACGCACGCCCCAGGTTTCACGTGACTGACACAATCCACATCAAGCTGATAAGTAGGGAAATCTGATCATAACTCTGCACTCACCGGGCCTTTAAAAATATACAACTCCAGATTTCGAATTTTAATGATCACATCGATACTGGTGTTGCAAAAGTCCACGAGTTTGCGTTTCTCTGTTGTCGGCGGCGTCAGGGGAGCTGAAAGAAATGTTGTTCGAATGAAAGATTACAATTCTGTTTATACAAGGTAATGCCACTCTTGAGTAAAACGTGCAAGGTGGCTTTGAAATATTTACAAGCAAATACACGATGGTTTCAATTACCTTCGCATATGATTGTCAGATTGAAGAATTAGGCGTTTCGGCCTTCTTTTTGAACATCCAAACAAAACATTTCGCCAAATTTTAGCCGCAAAACACGCGCTTGAAAATGTAGCGATCTGCACGCAACCTTCGAAAGTTTCAGTTAGCAAGACTAGGTCCCAATATTCGTTTAACTATATTTTAGCCATCTTTGACTGCAGAAGGAGCAACTTGTAGTTTTTGAATTTCGGCTTGAAAACTTTGTCAGTTAGTCAGTTAAACCAGGAATGTCGGAGAGCGTTACTTTCGACCTTGCTGAGAATTGCAAACAAAGGTAACCTTTGGTACATTATGACGTTGTGGGGTTTACGAGTTATGTATTGTTCATACATCACTCTTGTTTGAACAGTCGTCCTACAGGTGTAATTATTCTGATCAGTCCACATCAAAGTGGGGTGGAAGCAGTGAATTCGAATTTCGCTCTTATTAGAGCTCATCAGTAGTGCACATCCAATGTCCGCGCCAGGGTTTGAACTCTGGGCATCTGACATGCGAGGTGAGCTTGTTACCACTACTCCGCAGGCGCGAAAACGTTCAATCGTTCAGACGTGCAAATTCAGATGCGTCCAACGTGTGTTGGAGTGGTTACACGCTCGTCTCGCATGTCAGATGTCCGGGGTTCAAATTCCGGCGCGGCCATTGGATGTACACGGCTGATGAGCTCAAATAACAGCGAAACTCGAGTCCAGTGCTTCTCATCCCCTCTTCCGTGCAGATTCGTTAGAACACTTACGCCATGATGGAAGGTTGCTTTGCTTCACGATAATGGACAATATTCGTTTGCAGATCACTCAGAACTTTACTCAAACTGGATTCCGCTCCCAATTTTATTGCAACTTTGTTTCAGGACCTTTGCTAGATTTCAAAACCCCATACATCGGTACCTCGGTACTCTCTCGTGTCACGGAAGTGAGGAGTGCAATCTGAAGAAAACAGTAGGAACGATGTGGAGTGACGTCCTTCTGTACAATCTCGTTTTTTTCGCAGTACGTCTAAATTGAAATGAAATGCAACAAATTCAGCTACAGTTGCATCACTTTTATGGAACTGACATTTAGCCCAACCAGCCAATAAAACCGAAGTAGTCTCAGTGTATGGCGTTGGTTTTAAAACGAGAAAAAAGCTGTCAGTCAAAAAGGGAGTTTGCATGGAGTGGGAGGCAAGTATTTTTCTGATGGCACCTAAACTGGTTAATCAGTAATGCTTCCGGGAAAATCCGTCTGCTCCCTGGTGTGGTTTGGATTGACATGCAAATTTCAATTCAGCGTCCTGTTTTGTCCCGAAAACATCACCTAACCTTTTACGTAAGAGGTATTTTAAACGGGTACGTTCCAGGCTCACTGGCGTAACGCAATGCCCGTGACTGCAGAAAGTTTTACACGATTTTGCCCTCTAATGTCTCAAAAGCTAGCTTATTCGGTCAGCTGAAATGTAAACCCGTTTTGCACCGATTCTGAGGGGCTTACGACCACCTTGGTTAATCAAATTTGCATACTACTGTCGCATTATTGCTAGCCGACACGGTTTAGATAGTGTAAAAAAATTCTAAAAACTGTGGTAAATGGAGGCAATTGTGAAAGCAAAACACGTGATAAACCTCTCTACTGGTCGGCTTTAATAAGGACCATCATCACCGGGACTCGGTTGTGAAGCCTAGCTTAACAAAACCGAATGCAGTGTCGTGAAATTAGAATTGCAAAATTTTGGACACGTCTGTGCCAAAACAATCGATCTGACTAACCAATGGCGCCCCAACAAACAAAACTATGAAATTAGCTAATATACACTTATTTGCAAACTAATTTGGTCTTTCGAGAGACCCACCTGAAACCCACCTGAAACTCACCTGAATCTCTCGTTTGTGATGTTTTCAGGCAACTGAATGTGCTGCACCAGGCCGCCTCTTGTTTTAGTCGCTACGATATTCTAGATATCGCGATACATGTATATCTTTGTAATGTTCATCGGATTTTTGTTCATCGGATTTTCAGCAACGATATGAGTAGTACATTACAAAGATAAAACTATAAAGCCATTTTGAGCTAAAAACGAATGAGGATATTCCAGAAATACGACCAGTTAAAAATCCGATCGGAGCCTGGTACACTTTTGACTGATACCAAATTAATTTGCAAATGAGTGTATTCCTCAAAATCAGTCCAATTTAGGTTCAAGTAGAACATGAGGTTGACGAAAACTCGATGACTGCGCCTACGTGATGGGCCCCAAGAAGGGCGAAACCGGTTGTCGGCTGTCAAAACCTTTTCAGCAACCTTGCGACTAGTATCCTTTATGGACTATTCATTCTGTTTTATTGAGTATAAAGAATATCTAGTTTCATTTACAGGGCATCATCTACAAGGAAATGGATGGTTTTCCCAAGCACAAACCTTTGAGACTTACACTCGCTGATTTGTCCTTGGCGAAACTTGGGCAGTCAGTGAGAAAATGTACTCTGCTTGAAAATATTTTGTTGATACACTAATTATGGACAAATTTAAAAGAGACTGGGCATTTGTTCTCAGTTTAAAACCCTCTCAAGGACGAAGTGTCAAAATTCACTCTCCTTTCTTTGTTACGACGCGAAATACCCACTCACTCAAACAGTTTTTCAGAGTAACATTGATCAGTCAATTCAGGTCTTTCTATGGGCTCAGAAAGACATTGAGGATATGTCTAGAACTGTGGTATCACGTGTCGAATCTATATGATCAACGCAGCCAGCCCTATATTTCTCTTCGCTTTAGCCCGTTCTACACATACAGCAGCAGACGAGATTCAATCTGAAACACTATTAAACCTTCTGTCTTGCTTGAACCTGTCCGGGAATCACAGAAACTCACAAGCAAGTGACAATGCATTAGACAACTTAAATTTCAAATTGGGCTATAGTACAACTCCCAAGAGAGACTGTAATTGGTAATTGACCATGTTGCTCTTCCTTCGTTTGCCGAGGCTAACAACTGATCCGCAGAGGTTTCGAGGAAGCATCATCGTTGGATTGGTAGTTCCTCGCTTGACTAGTGCTCACGCCCAATCAAACAACGGGATGGCGGACCACGACGCAAAACAAACCAGGAACGGACCAACCAGAACAGGAATTAACGGACGAAACTTGTAGCATGTGGTTGAGCAATAAGAGTTGAAAATACAGATCGCAACCTAACACGCTCAAAATATGCTAGGTGAGAGTTTGCGAACATGAGACTCAGAAGATGTTGAAGAATTTTCACTAACCTAGTCAATAGTTCTTGGACAGCTCAAAGCCAAACATCATTTCTGATCAATATATGTATATCTCGTAAACTCAAATGCTGGTCCCACTCTGACTTACGTGGAGGGGGCACATCCGGAAGTTCCGGCTCCGGAGGAATAAACTTCCCAGGTTTGGCAGCACCTGGTTGAACAAAATAAGAGGTACAATGGAATCGTTTTCATAGTTTGAGAAAGAGTTGTCCATTGTCGGTAAAAAGGAGAGTGTTTAAATGGCGTCGGGTACAATTTCAGCTAATTTGTGACGTTTTTTCAGGTGGTCAGCGGCACCAAACTGAAACGAAGCTGAGTCTGACGCAGTGGATACCATAAACGTCTCAACATGAAATCTGATTCCGTTAGAGTACATTACATCTGTGACCTGTGGTTGAATGCATCAGGTTAGGCATGGAATGGTTTTGAATTCCCCGGTAAAACATCCTTGATAGGACATGTCACTCATAGGGTTGCAAACATTTTTCGATAGCCCTCCGTCGGCTTCACCTCTCCTAAGTATCATCAAGTGGGTAAAGTCTCCAAGTTTCCCTCAAACTGATGTCGTACTGAAAAAATCCAACTGGACTTTAACTGAATCTCCCGTTTACAAAATTTTCTACAGAATGTCAGACATCGTAATAAATCAAATGTGAGATAACCTCTTAGCGGGACATTCAATTGCTTGATATCATAAACAAGAGGTTGATCTAGAATTTAAGTGAGTCTGTCAGGAAAACCAGATTGGTCTACGAATCGGTGTTTCATCTATCTGGACACTTTAGGACACTTGGTTTGGAAAACTAATGGATTTACTGATAAGCGTCCACAAATCAATCAAACTAATCAATGTCAGCAAACATTTCTAACCATAATAGGGAACACAACATTTCAAAAAAGTAGGTTGAGCTTTGCCAATTTGAAAGTGGTATGTTGTGCAACCTTTGGCCTGAATAAGAAGGAAGAGTTTTTCGGTAAGAAAGGTTAATTTGAAAGTATCGCTTTAAACTTCTGCCTTCAGAGCTAATAATCTACCTGCTATTTTTGGCAACCGTCTCTGTCCTTAATCGGTATACACAGCTGCATCCACCCTTGTCAAATTCCGTGGCCATTTCTGTCTTGTAAATAGTTTACAAAGTTTCAAATGGGCAAATTCTACTTTAATATTGTCCAACACTGAGGTTTTACGAACATCAGCAACTATCGTGGAATAAAATTCATCTGCTTTTATGGTAGCCACAGGTAGATCAATATTCCGATTGCATCCCTGGCGTAAACCACCGCTCTGGTTACCGGTATAGTGACTATGAATCCCTAGTCTAAAACTCGTTCTGCTCCTCATAAACCTGTAGAAACTTCCCTAAAGGAAACTACATATAAGGTTGCTGAAAACGCTTCTGTAGTTCAACATCGGTTTTGCCCTCTCTTTAGTACTGATCATGAACGAGAGATTCATTGTACGAGAGATTCAAATCTATGTGAATGAGTGTAGTTGGACAGTTGCCTACAGGTTGGATACAAGTAGAATACAAACTTTAGGGAAACTCGCTGACTGCACCAACCTGATAAGCCCCAGAAGGGGCGAAACCGGCATTAGGCTACCGAAGATTTTTCAATAACCTTGTGGCTAGTTCCCTTCAAGAAACCATATTTCAACATCTCAAATTTTGTACCAAATGTAACAGTGTGTGGCCTTTTGTACAGCGTCCAAAGGACATCGTAAACGAGGAATTCAACTGTGATTCAGTTGAAACATGCGTTCAAACCAAACCGTTGTGAAAACGAGTTTTTCCTAAAGATCTGCTCACTTATCATGGCAAAAACAGTAACAGCATTTGCAATGTTTTTTTCAAAATACGGAGCTTATCAACCTCACACAGGAAGTGTAATGAGTAATAATTACGTGACTTAGAGGCTGAGTAGTGGTGAGAACACATTTTCAAAAAAAAAACGGCAACGTTTGGCTCACATTGGAAGCAAGCTATTGGTGAGTTTGGCAGCGCCCATTCGAAAACCAGGGTACGATGGGCAGATTATTTCATGTTAGCCCACTCACACTTGAATGAATCGCAGTAAAAGCAGTGCAACTCGGAAATACAAACCTTTTATTGCATTGCAATGCTACGGTTATTTTTCATATTCATTAAAAACAGAGCGAGGTTATTCGGTAATGATTTTCAATGGTGAAGTGAATGTGAACTACGCGACAGAACGCACTACTCACAAGGACGCTGAAAACATATCGGCAGCCTACTACCGTTTATGCCTTTCTTGGAACCTACAGAACATTCATAGCCCTCGAGTTTTTACTCAACTTACGTAATATGTTTTGTCACGGGGGAGAGTGTATGGTGAGCCCTCCAAAAGCTTCCCTACAAAAAGTGGTGTCAGACAAGGATATCCACTCTCGTTCAACTTCGTCATTGACGAAATAATGAGCCGAACACGGGACGGTCTTCGAAACCCCGGTGTTCAACTTGTCGCTGGCGAGAACCTTGTCGATTTGGAGTACGCAGATGACATCGCTTTGAAGACCACAGCGAAGCACAAACCATGTTAAATAAACTAACTACCATCATACCATCTTTTGGCATGCACCTTGTACCTTCAAAGTGCAAAGTTATGCTCAAGAATGTGCCATCTGCGAACATATTCCTTACAATTCAAGGAGAATCACTGGAGATTGTGGAAAACTTTACACACCTCGGTAGTTGTATTAGCTCTGACGGAAGTGTGTCTGATGAAGTCAGTGAAAGAATCTCAAAGTCTCGAATCACGTTTGCTAATTTGCGTCACTTCTGGCATCTCACTATATCTTAAGGGTCTTAAGGCTACAGTAAGGACTGTGTTGTATTGGTGCGAAACATGGCCTCTGCGGACAGACGATGTGAGGCGTCTTCATGTTTTCGACCACCGATGCCTCAGAAGCGTGGCTGGCGTCAGCGTGTTAGTAACGAGGTGATTAGAAAACG